CTTAATTATCTTAGAGATTAGTTCTGTTTACTGTGTTCATCATAGTTGGACAACAAGGCATGGTCTATATTCTTTTATGTTTGAATGCCTTCAATTAACATTGTTTTACAGATTCATCCAGATGTTAGCATATAGTTTTGGTTTGTTCATTTCCAATACCTGTATATTCTATTTTATGTATATATCACAATTTATTTATTACTTGTAGTCATTTGGTTTGTACTTTTCAGCTAGTATAAGTAATACTTAAATGAACATTCTTGTACATGTCTCTTGGTGTACGTATGTCCACATTTCTGGTAAAATATACCTAGAAGTTGCTTATGTTCAACTTTAGTAGGTAATGCCAAATAGTTTTTCTAAAGTAATTGTTCTAATTTCTTTTCTTACAGTAGCGTATATGAATTCTCATTGATCTAAGGTTTCACTAATCATTGAAGTAAATTAGTCTTTTTAATTTTAGTTAGTGATGGGTACATACTGGTATTTCTTTGTGGTTTTTTTTTTGTGGTTTTAATTTCTATTTTTTCTGCTGAGTAATATTTCACGACCATTTTGACACAATGTTTTGTCAATGCCTTTTCAAAAAAATTTTTTTTAAATATACTTTATTGGTTTTTTACAGAGAGGAAGGGAGAGGGATAGAGAGTTAGAAACATCGATGAGAGAGAAACATCGATCAGCTGCCTCCTGCACACCCCCTACTGGGGATGTGCCCACAACCAAGCTACATACCCTTGACCGGAATCGAACCTGCAACCATTCAGTTGGCAGGCTAAGGCTCTATCCACTGAGCCAAACTGATTAAGGCCTTTTCAAAATTTTTGACAGTTTTCTTTTAGATTATCTTTTTGTTGCTTTTTCTGGGTTAAAAATCTTTCAGTTCTTTCTGGGTACACAAGTTTCATGTATTGCATATATTTTCTCCCACTCTATGGTTTGCCTTTTTACTCACTTAATGGTGTCTTTTCATGAATAAAAGTAATTTTAATACATTCCAAATTACCATTCTTTTTCATAATGTTTTTTGATACACCACCATTTATTAAATTAAAACGACCATCTTTTCCCACCATTCTATAGTGCCACCTTTATTATAAATCAAGTTTCCATATATTTATGGAAACTGTTTTTGAGATGTCTATGCTGTTCCTTTGGTCTACTCATCTATTCTTGCACTAGTGCCACACTCTTAATTACTGTAACTTCATAATGAGTTTTCATATCTTTATAAATCTTGTCATTTTAATTCTCCTTGCTGAGAGCCTTTTAGCTTTTCTTTGTACTTCTTCATCTCTCTCAATTCATCTGAGGGCAAATCACTGACCTAGAACCTAAGTTTAACTTAAACACAGTATATACCAGCTTATAGTATTTTAAACTACAGACAACATAACACCAGTGTCCCAGCTCAGGAAGGTATGTATAGCTGCATCCTAAAGGTATCACTGGTCCTATGAACCAAGTAGGCTTTGAGAGGCAATCTACTAGGTGGGATAAGATAAATCTAGTGTAAGAGGCTAAGGAAGGCTAAGAAATAGACACCTAATTTCACCCTCCTGGGCGTTAGCATCATTCTCAAGGAGGAAATGGAGAGGTCTGTGAACCCCAAAATGTCTCTTGTTCACTACTATATTTCTGTGCCTGATATACAGTGGGCATTTAATAATATTTGTTCAATGAATGCATATGTGTATTCTATATATATAAAAGGCTAATATGCAAATTGTCCCCTCGGGAGTTCGATCGCTTGCTATGATGTGCACTGACCACCAGGGGGTGGCGTGGGACAAAGGAAGGCCCTGTCTGGCAGCCAGAAGGCCCTGATCGCCCTGATTGCCCCTGCTCACCAGCCAGGCCTAGGGACCCTAACCGTGTACAAATTTTGTGCACCAGGCCTCTAGTATAATATAGGCTTCTCAGAAGACATATATATTGCCATGAGTTTCACTCTTTGCCTTAGAGACTAGGAAGCTTAAAACAAATTTTAATAGCCTGTGAGATTTTACCATTTCATGGTTTTGCCTATTTCTACTTTGTCATATATGCATTACATCAAGTCTTTTTGGAAATAAGTGCATGGATTTTTTTAATGTTTAGTGACTACCTATCAGTGATTTCAGAAATTTGTTAACTATCTACATTCCTAAATGGAAAAAACTTGCAAGTTCCTTAGCACATTAAGTTCATATATGTAATAACTCAGTTTGAGGTTATATCCAGGTTCTCACTTTCTGAAATATTCAAAGTTTATGTAGAAACTTCCAAGTTGTTACCATAAGTTTCTCCATTTTGATTTTCATTTACATCTTTCAAAGACAGATGTAGTTGATGGGACTTACATAAAGTACATGTTTATTAGTTGTCTGCCCTAAATATTAAAATTCTCTGTTTTTTAATGCAGATGTAGAATTAGAAGAAGCTATTAGAAGAAGCCTTGAGGAAATGTAATTAAAGATATTAACCACACAGCATCAAGTAGCCTTGAAGATACTCAGGATAATGAATTCTTGAATTTGTTTCTAAAGAAGGCCAGCAATCTACTAACTAGTACAGATGTATTTGGAACACTGCTTTTTTTGCTTTCTCATGTTCAAAATTTTATATTTGCTTTGTATTTTTGTGTGTTTTTTTAAAAAAATGTAGAGGAATAAAATACATGTTAATACAAATATATAAACCATGTATTCTATTAGAGGTATGACAGTTTCCCAGTTAACTTGGAATTCCTATATTTAGGTTAAAAGAATTGAAAAATAAAAAAGCTCTTGACTATTGTTTATATGTTTCCCAAATAGCATTATTTCTTTACCTGTACAGTACAGGTGATTCTAGTTTATTTTTTTAGGAGTGAAAATGAAAATAAATAAAGCTGCCATAGATTAGTTTTTCTGTAAATTCTACTTCTCATGTGGCACTAATCTATGTATATAATTACCTTTGATTTCTCTGTTTATGATTATTAGAAGACAGTAATAGAAATTAATCGTGGAAACAGTTTAAAAGTGTTACGAGCACTGTTCTTTGTGGGTTTCACTCAGAGGTGTAATTCCTGCTTTACTTAGAGAAGCACATTGCTGGAATAAAAAGAATACCCTAATTTCTTTGAAATAATTAAAAAGAAACCTTTTCTATTCCTTTTACCTGCTTAGACTTTTATGTGACTTGCATTACCTTCTGTTTAAAGGGAATGTTGTCAAAATACTTGCATAAAATTAAACTTATTTTTAATAATAATAGTCTTTTTTATATATTTGTGTAAACATAATCTTAAAAAAAAATAATGTTCCAGGTCTACTCAGGAATAATCTTTCTTAATCCTTTAAAATTTTTATTTCATATGTATCTTCATTTTGTTATTCATTAAATTGTTTTTCAGTTTCCTATGTTTGGTATTACATATTTAATTTTTAAATGTTGAGGTCCCCATTGTGAATAATTAAAATATCACATAATTAGACTAAGAAGGGTTGTTATACTGTTTCTATATATATATGCTTCATGTCATTTGACCAGAAATGTTACCCCAAAATTTTTGAGTAGTAATTGCTTACCAAGTTGAAAATTTTCTATAATTTTTTTAAAGAAAAAAGTCATGGCTAGAATTTTGTTCTTTTTCTGCAGTTACATATTTTAGTGTGAAATAGCATTGCTATATTTTTTTATTACAGCATAGTCTTTTTACAGTATAGTCTTTTCAACCCACATTGGAAATCAATTTGTGTTTTTATTTTTTAAGATATCAGGTCTAGCCCAGCCAGTGTGGCTCAGTGTTTGAGCATCGACCCATGAACCAGGAGGTCGCCGGTTCAATTCCCAGTCAGGGCACATGCCTTGGTTGCGGGTTCGATCTCCAGTATGGAGTACAGGAGGCAGCCGATCAATGATTCTCTCTCATCATTGATGTTTCTGTCTCTCTCTTCTCCCTTCCTCTCTGAAATCAATAAAAATATATTAAAATATATATATATATATGTATCAGGTCTATTCTATCTACTTGTATATATTTTTTAAATAGAGATTATAGCTTGAGAATTTACCAGTCATTTTTCCAAAACGACTACGTTGTGCTTTTAATTTGTATGTTAAAGTGGTCAAGTAAGGCCTTAGGAGGTAGTCCCTGAGCCAGACCTTAGGCAGTGGTTCTCAACCTTCTGGCCCTTTAAATACAGTTCCTCATGTGACCCAACCATAAAATTATTTTCGTTGCTACTTCATAACTGTAATGTTGCTACTGTTATGAATCGTAATGTAAATATCTGATATGCAGGATGGTCTTAGGTGACCCCTGTGAAAGGGTCGTTCAACCGCCAAAGGGTCGCGACCCACAGGTTGAGAACTGCTGCTAGAGACACCTGCAGGAGCTTGCACAATAGTGAGAAGCATAAAGGACATTCCAGAAAGAAGTGTGGCTAAACAGATGTGGGGAAGAAGAAGAAACAACACCTCTGTGCCAGAGCTGCCACACTCAGGTGTGAGGTACACTGATGCTCTATTAATCAGCTTTTCATCATGACCCTTAAAAAGGTAATTGAATTGTTTAATATTTTAATTGTCAGTGATTGTGTTTTACCTGTTAAGCAATTACAAATAATTTTTAAATTTTTTATTATTTGAATTTAGCTACAAAGGGGAGGGAAGATTTAATCAATGGATAACATTACAGAAAGTTGTGGATAAACTAAATTACCAAAGTAAACGTTTCTAACATTGACAAAGATGCTTATCTTTTTGTTTTATTCATTTACTCATTCATTCACTCACAAAATATTAATTATTTGCCAGCGACTGACTGTTCTAAGCACTTGAGATTTATCGGTGAGCAAAACAAAGCCCACTCTGTGGAGCACACATTGGAGGAGAGGAGGTTGGATAGAGTGTTAAATAATAAGCGAGTATATCCGATGGTGATAAGTGTAATGAAGGAATATAGGGAGGGGAAAGACTGTGGGGGTGGGAGGCTTATTTTTAGTGGGGTGGTCTGGAAGGACCCTGACCATATGAACTTGAGCAAAGACCTGAAGAAGTTGATCGAGTGAGCCATGGAAATATGTATGAGGAAGAGAGCGCCAGATGGAGGGTGAAAAGGTCTAAAAGTCAGCTTGATATATATATGGAAAAGCAGGAAGGCTCTTATGAGCTAGGACAGTGGTCGGCAAACTCATTAGTCAACAGAACCAAATATCAACAGTACAACGATTGAAATTTCTTTTGAGAGCCAAATTTTTTAAACTTAAACTATATAGGTAGGTACATTGTTATTAACTTAATTAGGGTACTGCTGGGGTCCAACCCCAGCAGGTCCAGGGGTCCCCAAAGGTGTGGACAGAGTCGGCGAAGAAGGAATGACACGGAGACAGCCTTCAGTTGATCAGCAGCCTAGTCAGGACCTCTAGCCAGGATCTCCAGCCAAGTTCTGGTCGGGATCTCCAGCGAAGTTCTGGTTAGGATCTGATCAGGATCTGATGTTTATTGTCTTGTTACATCTGTATTTATACCAGCCGATTTTAATCCTGTCAATTTCTATTACAAAGGTTAGGGCGTTTCTTATCTCCATTCCAGGGAGTAAAGATTATGTAGCTTAACTACCCGCCTGGCACTTACTTAAGGGGTTGTATCTCCTCCCTAACCTCAGGGAAAATCCCCACCTGGGGAAACAACCTTTCTCAGAGAGGTGACCTTGGTTAAAACACATGGCGCTAAGGAGAGCAAACATATTAAGAACAATATGCTATATATGCCAGGTCCCTTGAAACATATGCTGTGCAGATGTTTCTTTCCTGCAGCGACTGTGTCAAGCAGCAAGGATGGACCGGCTTCCGGCAGGGTACTCCTAAGCTGGCCTTTGCTAAAAAATGTCCTCAATCTGATTGAGGTACGTTTGCTGAAGTTGACCCCATCCAACTCTCCCATCCACACTCGTCTTGTATACTTGTTTCGTCTACCTCCTTTCCGAAAACCGACTTCTGCGCATGGGCCACGAAGTTTCAATCGCACTGTACGTGCGCGCCCGCATGTGGTATTTTGTGGAAGAGCCACACTCAAGGGGCCAAAGAGCCGCGGTTTGCTGACCACTGAGCCAGGAGAGTAATAGAGGAAGTTCCTGAGGCCTTTTTAAAAGATCTTGGTTTTGACTCAAATGAGGAGCCATTGAAGGTTTCTGAGAATAAGTTGTGTGCTCTGCCTTATTTAGAAGGATTACTGAAGTAATGCAGTGAGAACATACCTGAGAGACAAGAGTAGAAGCAGGAAGACCAGACAGGAGGTACTGCTGCAGTATCTATCATCCAGGTAAGAATTGGTGGTGCTGGGACCAGAGTGGTGGCAGTGAAATCAGGGAGATGAATTTGGATACATTCTGAAGGTAGAGCTGCGGGGATTTACTTAAGAATTGGATCTGGCATATGAGAAAAAGAGAGCCTAAGATGATTCTGAAATTACTGGATAGACTTTTAAACCATTCACAAAATATATTTGCATTCCAAGTTTGTGCCATGACAGGACAAAATCAAGGTCAAGTAATCCCGTACACCAAGAGTTTATTAGTGTTGAGATTGAAGTCTGAGGGAATTGGGTTCCAGTTTTAAGGGCCTCATCTCTGTTCAAGTATTTAAATGGCTTTGATCTCAGATTAAAGATTGTGATTCAGCTTTAAACTGCTATTACCTATCACTCTATGCACTCTGTACATTCTCATCCTTGCAATATGAAGCATAGAGCTATAATAGGAGCAAATCCTGAGTTTTAAAAGTAGGTAAAAAAAAAAAAAAAAGTAGAGTGGAAGGGAGAGAGAAATGTCGATTGGCTGCCTTCCACATGTGCCTCGGCTGAGGTACATGACCTTGACCAGAATCCAAACCAGACCCTTCAGTCCCAACCAGCTAGAGCCAAATTAGATAAATCTTTGCACTCCCAGCCCAATTCCACTTCTACAGATTTACGTAAATTGGGCGTAAAATGGGCCTTAATGGTTACCAGTTATTTCACTCAAAATTCCAACTAGAGCCCTAACCGGTTTGGCTCAGTGGATAGAGCGTCAGCCTGCGGACTGAAGGGTCCCAGGTTCGATTCCAGTCAAGGGCATGTACCTCGGTTGTGGGCACATCCCCAGTAGGGGGTGTGCAGGAGGCAGCTGATCGGTGTTTCTCTCTCATCGATGTTTCTAACTCTCTATCCCTCTCCCTTCCTCTCTGTAAAAATCAATAAAAAAATATATTTAAAAGAAATCCAACTAGAATAATTTTTAATAGGAGAAAAAAGCTCATTAAAAATCCCTTCCTTGGAATGGGTTTGAAATGAAGTAAATGCTCCTTGCGGAAGTCGGGTCTGTTTTTACTTTTCCCTATTCCTTCAGCGGTGTTGTCCAGGCTGGCCGCCTCATCTCGGGAAAGGGGGAGCAGGGGAGCGGGCCAGGACCGGCCGCCCAGGAGCGGAGGTCAAACGCCCTCTCTTCCCCAAGGGGACCTTTCTCCACGCACCCAGGGACTGCAGCGTTTTGGTTTTTGCTGTGGATCATGGGGGCGGGGAGAAACTAAGTGAAGCCATCTCTGATCAGCACACCCACAGTCCACCGCTAGGTCCCTTGGCGAGGGGGCGATCGGGAACCTCGGGCTGCGCGGAGGGTCGGGGCCGCCGGGGGAGGGGTGTTGTGTGCGTCTCCGCAGCGGCC